CGGACAACCAAAACGTCCGATGGACAAGGTGAAATTCAACGGGTATACCGGCCGTAATAAAGCCATTAAGAATGGAATTCCACGAAGGCGCTTTTAAATTTGCACAGAGAGGGTGAGGTGAACCATCTTTGTGCAGCTGGCTTCTGTTCTTTCGATTGTGAATTACAATTTGAAAATAAGGAGGTAGGATCACCTCCATTTCATTAATTCAGTTTTTTTTATAATCGCAATTTCTTCCTTTGCCATAAAACTAATGGAAATCTGAATTTCTGAGAAATAAAAATATAGGCGAGTAGCTTCATTTTTAATTTCTTTTTTTTTAGGAGAAATAAAAGTTTGCTAATTGCTTTATTGGGAATTAGTGAATTTTCAACTTACCAAAGAAAAAAAAATAATTTTCCTTGTATTTAAAAAGTAGAAATCCAATTTTTAACATGGTTCTAGAATTGAATCCTTTTTTTCTTGCAAGATTTTGATAACACTTTAAGGTAATGCGAGGTCTCCTCTTGCTTTCTTTTGGTTTCACTCTTCTTCTTGATGAACTTCCTGTTCTCATATTCCACTTTTTCCCCTGCAGCCTTCTCTTTCTTGATCGTGATTCTTTTACCCTGTACGTCTTCCTTTTTTCATCCATTCTGGGGCTTCCTTTGATTTTGGCGCTTCGGTTATGTTCACTTGATGGCTGTTTGTTAAGCTCCTCTCTTCTTTTCCTACCTTCCTTTTCTTCTTTTCTTTCCCGTCGCTTCTGCTTTTCTTTCATACCTCTTATGGATTTCTTTTCTCCTCATTCTTTCCCCATAGTGGTTCTTCCTGTTTCTGTAGTATTTATGCTTTTCAAATCCTTTTTCTTGTCGCGTCTCGTACCACCTCCAGGGTGCATCCTAATTATAAATATTTCAAAAAGACTACGTGCCACGTCAACGATTGTCACATTCAAAGAGATACACTATTATGAAACTAACTATGGAAACATAGAAAGCTTTTCTTTTCATTTTCTTAGAACTTTTCAATTTCACTAATATTGAAGTTAACAATACATAATAACAATATTTTACAACAAATCTTGTACATTAACGTTGCTTAATTTTCTTCATTTAAACTCAGATTAATTATTTGGAGCAAAGTTCATCTAAAGATCTCATTTCAAGTAAAATCTTAATATGCATTCTGTTCTTGCACTCAACCCTTTGGATGGCGGACCATGTAGAGAGCTTCTGTTTTAATTTAATCTTGTATTTCTTATTATCTTCATTTTCTAAATTTTACACTGTTCTTTTAAAATTATTGTCTTAATATATAAAACTCTTTCGTCAAAAAATGATACATTTAACTTTAGGTTAATATTTTAAGAGTTAGGGTTAACAAATAATGGCTAAGTAATGATAACATTATACTACTATTGGCAATAACAATTTTTCTTTTCTAAAATAAAAATAAAAACTAAATCTTCTTTGAATTTTTAAGTATTATTACCGGAAGAAATTAATTTTGGGAAAGGAACCAAATATTCCTTATTTTACCCAATTTCTCTTTGATCTTTATAGATATGCAATAAACAGTGTCCGATAAATTCATCAAAGTAACGATGCTCGTTGAAAGATTGGAAAACAAAAAATTATCAGGCGGGCAACATAAGGGCGTGGAAACGAAAAAGTCGACGGAGTTCAGAGACCTTCCGCGATTCAAGGAAGCGGTTGGAATTCGTGGCGCCGTTTGCTTCTCTTTTCGTCGCTGAAAAAGAAGGTCAAACAAGTGGAACCGGGCTTCGTCGACTACCTAGTTTGGCTCGTGAGAAACAATCATCCTCCTCTGGTTCGCAATCTAGCCTCTTCTCTTTCTCGAAGCTGACGGACCACCGAGAGCCAACCAGACGACGAAGGACGATGGTCCTTGCTTTTTGCCCTCGTCACTTGTAATAACAACCGACCGGCAACGACCAGAAGGGGATTTAAACGTGTCTCGCGATCTCGTCGTGACCGATGCGACGCCTCCCCTTTCTTCCTCTTCTTTTTCACCGTGGTACGTCTCATCAGTTACTTTTTGATTCAGCGCTTTTCCAAGCCGTCTCTTTCAACAGCTCTGTTTTCGGAACGCATCGATGATGGCTCGACGATTTTGATAATTGTTCTTCGACATCTTGTTCCCTTACCTCTTCCGTTCCTCTTTTTACTCGCCTGCTTCTTGCTACAGGGTGAAATGCTTTCTGTTTCGTGGGAGAAGATATTCGCGACACTGGAATTGAACTGAAGTTCTTTCTTTTTTATCATCTTGTAAATTTTGGCTGTTTCCGAATGGTTCCACCAAAATTGAGAACTCAGGTTCGGTATATAACCTAAATTGACTACAAGAAACCGATTAAAGTTGGTTTCAGAGCTGGATGTCTTACCGTTTTCGAAATATCGTGCTAAGGTTAAGTTAGGTTCTGTGTATGCGCAGTATCGAATAGCATATGTTCAGTATCGAATAGCGCATGCGCAGTACTGAATAGCGCATGCGCAGTACTGAATAGCGAATGCGCGGTACTGAATAGCGCGTGCGCAGTACTGAATAGCGCGTGCGCAGTACTGAATAACGCATGCGCAGTATTGAATAGCGTATGCTCAGTATCGAATAGCGCATACGTACTCCCAAAATTGTACCAAAATTTCTTACCACGATATCTCAAAAACGGTAAGACATCCAGCTCTGAAATTAACTTTAATCGGTTTCTTGTGGTCAATTTAGGTTATATACTGAACCTGAGTTCTCAGTTTTGGGGGGTCATTCGAAAACTTATCTTAAACTTTATACATATTTTTATAAATTTGCCAAGTGTTAACAATTTAATGATTGTTAAATAAAAAATTAATTTTTTATTATTTTTAAATTTATTTTATTATATTATGTTAATTTATTTTATTATTGTTTTATTTATTTCATCATATTTTAATTTATTATTATTTAACCCTTTTATTTTATCCATTCTATGTATTTACGTCCTTGCACTTTCGTCGTATCATTCTGCTATCAATAGTCTTGCAATGTGCATGACCCATTAAACGTAGAAGCAAAAAAATGCACGCACATATACATAGAATCGATTGAAAGCAGTTACGTGATGGTTTCCGTCGAGTGCATTATACGATGCACCAGCATATTCATTAACGCCTGAGTTAACGATGCACGTTACCGATTGTTTACGACGCCGCGCCGCCGTGGCACGGTTCTAACGAGACTGACAATGAACAGCAACGCGTAAGAAGCACATTTTTTAAGCGTGTCGCATTTTCTACGCGTTGCGTGACATGTCATTATCATTTCTAATAAGCGACGAAGACATTCCGAATCGTTGTTTTTCCCCCTGGCTTTAATTTTCAGATACCATGCGATAACACTTTTTCTAACTAAATTGTAATTTAAATTAATCTTCCCCAAGAGAAATAATGCACCGAGTTCCCAACTTCTCCCCTCGGAGTCCTGGGAGAAAATGACAGTGATGGGGAGATGGTCCTAGTATATAGGTTCCAGGACTTCCCCACCCCTCGTGTTAAAATTTTTGCGCGGGAAAATTTGAATGGACATTTATCTATTATTCATATTTCTCAATATTAAATGTTATAATACTTAATGATTAAAAATGATATTATTTTTGTTTCTAAATTACTTTTAATATTAATATCGTATTTTGAGAATTCCTACTTCCACTATATCGCCATTTTCTTTTAAGAGTGTACCGAGGTAAGGAAATAATTGTAAATTAAAAAGTAAAGCAAATTTACCTACAGAAATTAATAAGATATAAAAACTTAAGCATCAATTAAGTGCTTTGACAATAGGTACTTTCGAAAATTCAACAATTGAAGTTAATTAATTCGGCCTGGTAACGATTGATATGTAATGCGAACAGTGTTATCGTTTCTTTGAAATAGAACACAGATAGAAAATGCACTATTCTACGTTGTGACCTTTCTTGTTAATTATTCTTATCATGTCTATGACTATTACAATATCATGAAAATGATGACTGTAGGCGCCGAGAAGCTTGAAAACTTGTTAGAACGATTTCCTGTGCAAAAGTAGAACGAATCGTAATTGTTTTTTCAATGAGTTTGACTCGTTACGATACTTTACATTCAATACAATAAACTTTATTTTGTAATTTAAATTCGTTCATACTTAGGACTGAATTTTCATTAAAATTTCATCCTATTTAGTGATCACTTTCTTTTTTTCTTTAAACAAAAAGATTTTAAATTTTCAATAAAATCATAGAACATGTGGTGGAAAATTTGAAATTTTGTAATTAAGATTCAGACTTCTAAGAAATCTTTTACGTTGCTGATCCACAAATAGTATGGTAAGGTTACTCTATCTATTTTTACGCGAAATCTACAACGCAGAAAATTTTGGCATAGTAAAATATACCATTTCCATTTTAGCGTATCGCTCACAGAGAGTGCTTTTTAAACTTCTGCAAAGTTTATCTTGTAAATTCTTTTTCTATAAAATCACTACATTTAATTTTTTCAAAATCCAGCAAAGGGTAAAAGAAAGTACAGTAGATTCTTATTATATTGCCACTGAGGGGGTTGTAGGGTGGAAAATTTATCGAACTTCCAAGCTTTCATTTAAAGGGGGGAGGGAGATAGAAACGTATCACCTTCATGGACTATAAGGGTCATGACAAGTTATATTGTCATGGTCATGGCAATGGTTATAGAGTCACGGTAATATAACGAGAGTCATGGTAATATTACGTGAGTGGTGGCGATATAACGAAAGTCTACTGTACTGCAACATTTATTATACCCAAAAAATCAAGTGAAAAATTCTGAAAAAAGAAAAGAGTATGCAGGGTGTATTTTCTGAAGAATAAACTGCATTGGCCCAGGTAAATCGTTCGCCATCATTTACCTTGGTTCCCTTGAATTTTCCATGGTGTAGCGTGCACACATTCGCATGCACGCATGTCCCACATACATAAATACATATGCAGCTCGGTAATCCTGATCGTTTCTCACCTCTGGCGCTGAGGGCGATGAAGGTCTGCGCGTGCCTCCTGACCATCACCGGGTCCCAGCTACCTGGCACGGGCAGTCTGCTCAGGATATGCATCAGGAAGTCACCTGGTGTCACCGCGGATAATTCCCATTTCAGCTTCGAGACGACCAGTTGTTCCCACCTCTGCAACAGCCGTATGATAGAAAGCGATTAGGATTCTTTCTCTCAAAAACAGGCACGTGAATAAACAACCGAATATTTCTAACGTCGATTAATTAACCCTTAAAACACCCGACATTGGCTTCCTCAGGAAAAATGATGCTCCGCGTTCCCACCCTTCCTCGCAGGCGCTTCCAAGGGCAACGACCATGTTGGGAAGGAAGCCCCATATACATATATGTATAGCCCTGTGATTCCCCACCACTTGCATGCAAACGTTTACACGGGCAAATTTAAATTGTATAATACAATTTAATTCCTTATTCGTACTTTTCAATTACAAATTAAAAATTATATTATTTTCTTGCTAAATTACTGTTAATATTAAGGATGTGCGGGTACCCGATATTACGGGCTCGGGCGCGCTCGGGCGGGCGTCCGATACTTGCGTGCAATCGGGTAGCCCGACTATTTCGGGTTCGGACGGGCACAGTCGGGCAAATTCGGACGAGCTCCCGTAGGCCGCGGCCCGCGACCCAACTATCATGTAAGTACTTGTTAATACTTGCAATAAGCATGTGCAAAATCTGTTTTATGTGGAATTTTGGAATAAGATAATTTTTATGTGGAAAAATAATATTTGTAACGAATTTCATTCCATGTCACCTGAATGTTCATTTTAAACAAAATAGATTTTGAACATGCTTATTGCAAGCATTAATGATCGTTGGGTCGCGTGTCGCGGCCCGCGGGAGCTCGTCCGTATCAGCCCGACTGTACCCGACTGAACCCGAAATAGTCGGGCTACCCGACTACACGCATATATCGGACGCTCGCCCGAGCCCGCCCGAGCCCGCCCGATGTTTTCCGAACCGACCGCGACCCGACTAGTCAGGAACCCGACACAGTAGTCGGGCCGCACATCCCTAGTTAACATTAATATTTTCTCTAGAGAAACTTAATTTACTTGATCTGAGAAACTAGAGTCTAGTCACGTTCCCATATATACAGATTTATAATTAAGAAAATTTCTATTCGTAATAGAAGGTGTCGAATTTGAAAGGTTAACAAACTTCTTTGTCACCGTTTAACCCTTTCATTGCCGCGGGCCGATGTGTTATTTGAACGATGGCACTGTTATAGACCAATGGGCCGATCTAGCAGTTTTTGCGAATACCAACTATTTAGAGTTGTCAGTAAAAGGGTTAATGATCCTAATTCATTAAATGCTGTCTTTATTTGCCGAGCGGACGCGACGAAAGCCACGTCACACGGTTTCGTAAGAGACTTCCCGAACCGTGAGTATCGTAGCCACCGAATTCAATGGACTTTTAATCAAGCCGAAGGACGCGTAGTACTCCACGTAGTATAGCCGCCGTGTAATTTCACGGTCGAGAGAAAACGAGGGTACTACGACGTACTCGAGCGAGCAGCGCATCCGCGAGACAGAAAGGAAGCAGAAAGCGTACGTGTAGTATACGCTTACTACGATCGAGCGATACACGCGGAGGAAACGAGCGTGTACGGCATCGGGGAAACATGCTAAGTTAAATGGACCTTCCTTGGTTAACCGGGAATATTTAATGCGTAAACTGAGCACCGTGTATATACGAATAGTATGAAAAATATTATATGGGGTACACGACGTGAAGATACACATTCGGTGCACGGGTATGTGAACTTAATAATATCAGGTGTTGGGAATCGTTCTTATATGGGAAAAAGGCTTTCATGTGACGAAAGTGTAAATAGTTTTTCTATAGAATTATTGGTTAGTTAACCGGGTAATTAATCTCGACTATTTTATTGGATAAATCAAGGTCGGAGAAGACGATAGGAAGCTAATCTAAATTAGAAACTAACTACTCTAGCTGAAGAGAACTAAGCTAAGCTAAGTTAGACTAGCTTTTCTAGCTGAGGAGAACTAAGCTAAGCTAATTCAAAGGCTAGCTATTCTAGCTGATAAGTTGGGTTGGGTTAGGTTAGGTTAGGTTATTTTCTGGATTCGAAATTATCGGTAAATTTTTGAAAAATTGTGATTTTTTAAAATGGCCATAACTTTATAACGCCACGTGATATCGACCTCGGGACACTTCCTATCGTCTTTTCCGACCTTGATTTATCCGATAAAATAGTCGAGATCAATTACCCGGAAAACTGCAATCCAACCGAATTATTTATTAAAATTCAATTGTATAAGTCTTGTAGTAATAATGGGCCAAGTAAAATTAGAAAATAAATTGGAATAGGATAACGTTTTTTAACCCTTGGATGGCGGACCAGGGAGAGAGCTCCAATTCTAATTAAATTCTGTATTTCATATTATTTTCATTTTTTAAATTTTACACCGTCCCTTTAAAAATTATTCTGCTAGTATATGAAATTCTTTTGTTTAATAATTATACATTTAACTTTAGGTTAATATCCTTATTTGGGTCACGATTGACCCCAGCTCCGCTGTCCAAGGGTTAAATAATGAAATACAATTTTCTTCCGTAGCTCGAATATTTTTTGTTCTGGGTAGAATTATAGTTTATTACGTAAGAAATGAATTATTTTATATTTTTTACTTTTTTAACAAAAGGGTCAATCACTAAAAGTGCGTCATTGCACTTGCAGTATTACTTTTATTTCCTACTAAAATTTTAGTAGGAAAATTTCAAAATCAAATATTTCTATAAAATATATTAAATTCTTTTGAATAAATAAATTAAATAATTACATTTCATATTAACCCTGTTCCACATAATCACCATAATTTCATTAATCCAATATGATTAAAGCTAAATTTAAAATTCAACTGTACTAAATTTGTTACAATTAAATTGTAAGTTACGCCACAAATATGATTCAATATTATGAGCCAAGGATTTGAAAAACGAAATTGGAGGCAAGTGTATAATTAAAGTTCCAAGGATCTGTCTCGCTCTCTCTTTCTTTCACATCTTCGAGGGGTATCGCTTTCCTTCTGGTCTCACCTCCTCGATTGACCTCTTATCCTTGAAGAGGTGGAGCTTCATACTCGAGTGCGTGCGTATACGCTCGTAAAGCGACTCGTAGTGCTGCTGAATGAAACAAAGACGACCACGCGCAAGTGGTATAGGCGTGATTTTTACGCGGCCGTAAGTCGTTTCTCGAGTGATGTCAGAGTCGATATTTGCAGCGTAACAGGACGATGCAACAAGAAAATTATTTACGATAACGAAGCTTCCGATCTTTTCTTTTTAATTATATTTGAAAATAAAAATATTATTATTTTGATTTAAAAACCAGAAAAATCCAAAAATTCTACAAAAACATTCTAATACTTATTCCGAACAATCTGAAACAGTAACAGGGCAGGAAACGATGTTTTCTTTTTCTTCCAAGGAGAAAACACGATCGTTAAGTTTCTTAACGCGTGAAATTTGCTAAAACGAAAAAAAGGTTCCCCTTTATGAAAAACGTGCGCGCGCTTATCACGGTCAAAGCTTCTGGTGTTGATTTAAATAAAAAATTACCGGTCTATGTAGCGTCGGGTCGATAAAGCATCGCAAAGAACAAGCTCGAAGCGCGTAATATCTCGTCGATGGTCGTATAAACTCGTCGTGGAATGCGTGACGGTGCAACGACGCGAATACGCGGGGCTGGCTACGCACGACACGGTACGATGCGTACGCAAGCGTAAACGTAACGATTCCGCGATCGAGGCCAACGATCCGCCTCAGGGATACGCCGTTTTACTATTTATACACGGTAAACCATTAACTGTTACCATTTTCTAAATTTAACTTTATGTACTTTTTACAGTAGACTCTCGTTATGGGGTAAGTTTGATAGAAATGGAGCACCTTTTTTAAAATGTCTGTAAATTTAATATTTTAGAAATAATAAATATGTAGTGGATAATTTTTTTTATAATATATAATTAGCATAAGACGATGTCTTTATAAATAGCTGCAAAATAAAATAAAATACATTTCTGAGCTATGGTCCATCTCACCCTTACTATTATGGGTGAGAAGGACCATATTTATAAAAGTTACTGTAATAATTTTATGAAACAAAGAAAGTTACATATATTATTATAATTAATAAATATTTTTTTTTCACAATGGTTTTAAATTTTTTGCATCCCACCTGAAATCAGGGACTGTAAACGAAAATTCAAATGAAATTTAAATAATGTCAATTATACTAACGATAAGATACTTTGAGTGCAAGAGAGAGATACATTATTTATTTGTACCATTGTGGTAGTTTTAACCATCAGGCGACGGACCATGGAGAGAGCCCCAATTTAATTTGACTTTCTATTTCATATTATTTTCATTTCTAAATTTTACACTGTTCCCTTAGAAATTATCTTTCCAATATATGAAATACTTATCTAAAAATTAGGTATTTTTCGTTTTGTAAGTTTCAGCCATGATTGACCCAAATGTTATTAAAACTTAATTTATGAAAATTACGCATTCGTCTACACAAACAACAAAGTGATTCTATTTTTTCGAGCTTGATAACAAAATTTAGGTCCCTACCAGAAATCAAAATGTGGATTTTTATTAAAATTTACTAAAATTGAAAAATTAAATTTATAGACACGCTCAATAAATAATATCGGCCGATGGAGTGTCTGATAAATACTTAAAAAAATCTATATCACAGTTTCAAGCATACTGATGCCGCCCTTCCATCATCATAGTCGACGAAGATGATAGACTGCTATCACCCCCCTAAATGACAGCTTAGAAGTTTGAAAAATTCACCTCTCCCGATCGCGGCAATATAACGAATACGGTTAATAATAATACACCGTGTACAGAAAACAAGTTGGCCCCCGTTGCGGTTTTCTGGATTGTCGAGAATCGGGTGGGTCTGCGTAGACGAGCCAGTAAGACAAGTCGGCTCTCGCTCGCTCGCTCAGCCTCTTTATTATTTCCTCTTGAAATATCTGGTATCCGTGATGCACATCGTAAGAGGCCGTGTGTTAAATGATGCAACGACGGGGCGGTTGCACTTGTGCGTTTGCATTTTTCCACGAC